CCCMAWTTTTAAACCATTGTTCTAATTGTATACAATGGAWCCATGTCAATTTTATTTCTCTAAATTCTTCCATAATYRTTTCCTTCTTCATTCCAACCTTTATCCAATCCCCTATYTTGYCKAAWMTTTTCCCCTTAACTTTTTATCCATTACTTTTTTWAAAAAAAATTGGAAATTTMTTTTCYRTTAMAAYTGGGGTTATTACTGAACCATCCGTTATTAACATTCTCCTATATTTGTTCCATACTTCTAATATATTGCTCAACATTGGGTTTCTAATTTCCCTAGTTTCTTTTCTCGTAAACTGTTTTAAAAAAATATTCCAAATTTCTTCCCCCACTTCTTCCAAATCCTTACTTAGCCAATCTACTCCCTCTTTTTTTTATCATTCCTTCTATAACCAATCTTAATCTACTCGCTTCATAATATTTTTTGATATTTGGGAGTGCTAATCCTCCCTCTTTTTGCAATCTGTACCATAACTGTTTGTTTAATCTATTTCTTTTACTACCATTACAATATTTATCATTTGTTGCCATCTATTTAGCTCTTCTTCTGTAATTTGAAGTGTCAGCATCCTAAATATAAAATCTTTGGAAGTTGTATGTCTTTTAATGGTGTTTTACCTATTGATTTAATGATGTTGTATTGCACCTTGAGCCACAGGCAGAGGCTGGTAATACATTTATTATTGTTGTTGTTCTTATCCTTTATAATTGAATCTCCCCTACATGCAAAGTATGTCTGAAATCTCTAATGAGATAAAACATACATTTTAACTCTTGAAAACTGCAATCTATAAAACAATGTTATACCAAACTGCCTATATCTGGCAGCATTTGCTCAAAATAACCAATAAATAGTGATGTTTTTAGAAATATAAATTTAAAGAAAAGTCAGCCGAGGAACATAATAGTAGCAAATGGCTATCCCAAGGGATCTGAATGTGTAAACTAAGCCAAGGAAAATCCCAGGATGAGTTGACTTGGGGATGTAAAATTCTAACAAGACTGCCATTCATTCCACATCAACAGTAAAATAACTTTTTTACCATATGAGTGAATGGCAGTGATTTATTGTATTAGTCAATAAAAGGGTGCAATATGACTTTCTCTCAATGATCTAGGTAGCTTGGTTCACCAAC